TTCCCCACGAACACGCATCACCTCATTCGACTGAAAGCCTAAACCGCGTTTCATGAGTTTCTTTCCCTTCTCTCCCCCCGACGGTTCTAATCTCCAAAAAAGTGTCCAATTTTTTCAAAATTGCTCTGATGCAACTTTTTGGTGCTGCAGGATGATTCATGGAAATATTCAATGCCGCGACGGCTTTTTCCTTCCTGGCAATAATGCACTTCCGCGCATTTCGAGCTGGATTCATCAGGCTAAAATTTCCTTCGCTCGTTCTTTTCAGTTACAATATTCCGCAGGCACATTTTTTCTGCAAAAAATAATCGGGAGATTGATCACAAAAGCTCATGGCTCATGGGATTTCGTAAGACTCGGATCACTCCAAATACGGTATTGGCCGATTTTCAGACGCGTCCGCAATTCATTTCAACTGTTATACTACGCGCTATCCACCAAAATCCTCGCGAAGAATGAAGTTTAAACTCTCCTTAAATTACATCATATTCAAAGGCGTGAATTTCTACTCAACATGCACTCATAAGAATAAAACTGTTTCATGGTACAGTGACATACAACAACAAAAAAGCTGAAAGGGGCATAATTTGATTTTTCCAACGCTTAGAATGCGCTGCAGCTTAAAATTCATCCACAACTTCCTGGCCCAACACGCACATTACTGTACTTCAACTAGACACTTCTGATTAAATTACGAACGTTCTTAACTCCCGATTTTTTAAAATCCACTATTTCAAAGAAAGAAGTTCAGAAAAGGGAAAACAGTTTGAGAATACGGAATCAAGACACCGCATTGCCATCATTTTTTTCCGTTTCTTAATTTATTCCAAATAAATACATTTCAGCAAGAAGGAAAATCGAAACTCCAGCTACCAGCTTTCATTTATTTCCAGATTTACCCGGCCTTTCAGACTCCGAAATAACGGGAAAATAAAACGTAAAGTTAATTTATTTCTCAGTTCGAAATTTCCCTAGCTTTTTTTCGTGGTTCGAAATGCTCTTCACAAGAAAGAAAAAGGGGGGTTGGGCTTAATAATGGAAAACGAGAGTTGGTGACAGCCCCAGGCAAGGCGACGGATGACAAGTGAGAATTTTTTTGGATTTACTGACTGTAAGTGAGACCGAGGAATAATCTCAGGCACGTCGTAAAACAAGCGACGAGGGGGAAATCCGGGATTGTCGTCGCGAGTGAGGCTTTCTCGCTGATTGGACTGTCGACAAGACCAACGTGTCACTTTTTTTCGTTCCATCTTTCTTCGGCCCCCTTCTTACTGTTCTGCTCGTCAAACCCCCGCAATTCCGTCCCTATCCATTTATCGATGCTTGTCGGGACTCGTTTGGGTGGCGAGTGATGCGAAATGCAGCGTCGACACTCGACAGGTCCACTGAGATACGTCGCGAACGAATTGAGCATTAATGCGTTTCACCTTCCGCCACTTCGGACCTAACCTCGTCCGCTTTCCTCAGTTACCCGTAAAACGAAACCACTGGAAGAAACCGACAGCAAATGTTCTAAATCAGCCGAATTCATTCCCGACGTGGATTGCGAATAATCCGATGATCACGAAGACGATCAAAAATAGCTTTCAGGTTATTTTCGCATTAAAGCGGAGAAATATGTCAGCATCGAACAGAAAAATAGCAAATCGTTACCAGTTAGTACAAACCGCCAAAAGAAATGCTTTATTGAAAATAATATTTTTTTCTATTACTCGCGGGATGCGAAACATTTTCGCAACGATATTTTGTCACTTCGAGATTTGTTGTGATACAGGCATTGCGATAATGATTTAATGTAGCATTGGAAACTAATTAACTAAATTTCGGGATTAGTCTAACATGGAAAACCACGTTTTGCGGATGAGATGATCGTATTGAGATGTATTGGAGTAAGTCGACGAGATAATTTTTTAAATCTTCGATATTGCAATTCACATTTTACTGTACAGTACTCGAAATGCTTCGCGCGCTTTTCTTTTTTCTTTCTTTAAAATTTCGTGATTTTTCACACGCTGATATTCCCTTACATCGCACCTCAAACTCAGGACGTGCCCTTCAATCGCAAAATGAATAAATGCAGTCCTAAAATCATTTTCATCCCGTTCCGAAACATGAAACTTTGTTGTGCTCCCTTCACCCAACCTGGAAAACCCCTTCGTGTCTGCTCTCGGTTACGGTCATCAGCCTCAGGCGCAAGAGAAAAGACAAAATGGTACATCGTCGTGCGACGCATGTCACAAGATCCGGAGCAAAGTCACTCCGGTCGGCATTTTGCCATTAACCGATCTACCTCTTCCACCAAGCACAAAAGAAATCCGCAGCCAAGACCAAGCAAGGAGAGAGAGAAAGAAAAAAAAAGGTGGTCATTGCCGTGATTCCGATTCGTTGGCTCAGGGCCAGAAAGTAAGACGCTGCTCCGCCTTGGCGAGTCGGGACAGAAGACCCCCGAGAGCAATTTATCTTCCGGTATTTTTTCTTTCTTTTTCTGGCCCTTCATCCAGACCATCATCGAAAGAGTCGTAAATATCCTCGGGTCCGGGATCCGGCTTCCGTTTGCCGTTCCGCCAGAATTATTGATCCCGTGATTAAGCGAGGAACAATGACGAAAGTTTCATTTCCATCGGCCGTGATCAACTCGGGACTCCGTTCACCCCGCAGGAAATTCGACCGCTCACGTTCCGTCCGAACGATTGAACCGGTTTGGTCGACAAGCATTTTTCCATCAAATCACATACTCGACATCATAATACTGGATTGCGCAATCACGTGCTCGGGAATTCACATTAAAATTAGGTCAATCACATACAAAGTAGAAACAAATGAAACTTGCGGATCGCAAATAATAAAATTGCATGATTTGACAGCAGCGGGCAGAGGATAATTAAATCAGTCCACGAATTTCGCTTTCCTTTCACAAACATAAAGGGTTACTTCTAGATTCCTTTCACAGATTTCGATTTTAATACTGTGCTGAGATTGCTTTGCCCCTTTCGAAACCGAGCTAACACATGATGTTTTTCAATTCACCTGAAGAAAACTGAGGGTGCATCACAGAATCAAATGCGCCTCAATTTGGCATGCAAAATGCGGATTAATGGATAACTTCAAAATTGAGGAAAAGAAATAGTGTACATTCACACATGATTAACGCATTTGCCCTTCTGCCCTTTAAATGCATGTCATCAATTCCAAATTGTAAATTTGATAAGCATACCTGAGATGACGTTCTGATTTTTTTTAAGAAAAGCTTTTTGTCTGAAATTAAAATAAGTACAGTACAGTACAGTAATTATAATGTCACTTAACACTATAATTAACATTCAGGATGAAGGAATCCAAATGAGGCCTTGTCTACAGATTAAGCGGGAGGAGATTCTGTTTGATTGGCTGAAATATTGCAGAAGCGTCTCGAAATCAATAGTATCTAACAACTAATTCCGATGCACAGGAAACGTCAATAAGCTGCTCGCGCAGAGTCATATAGCTCTATCATTATGCTGACTTTTTTACACCATGAAAACCTTCTGAAGATATGCCTGTTTCACGAAATTCGCGCAACTTTGCAGACAGCATGAGAAACTTGCTACTGATCTTGATTGTTTTCCCTTTTCGGACGAACGGATTGAGTGCATCTGGACTGTGTAGACGAAGCGTTCTTGGCAACGAATCGAAACGTAAGACGCACGGCACAGATCTAGATCATTAATCATTTCTCACATTAGGAAGCTAAGAACGACTGGCAAACGGGCATACGAACACGAGCACGGAACTTCAAAAATAAAAAAGGAGAAACCCGAACAGCGAACCAACCCAGTCGAACTTATGTTTAGAATATAAAATTAACCTTTCATAGATTACCACCCGTTAGCGAACTCAGGATAGATTAAACTGGACATATTTTCATGCTTACCATAGAAATACGGTGGATTTCTCAGCTAAGAATATCGGCTAACGGCAGGGAAGCTCTTCAGATTTGAAATTAACTCATGAATTATTCGAGTCTTGCGTAAATCCATTACAGCTAGGGTGGCAACTTTTCTTTTTATTTTCCTCATTTTTAATAAAATTGTCAAGACGGAAACGAAGATTTGACACAACATTATAAGATCAACGACTGAGCACACGCAGCAGTATTTTAGCCTTTGAGTCCCCATCGTCAAAATTGAGAGCGTCGATGCAAATTATAATCCTCAGAGAAATCCTCATCAACTGAATGCCCAGCTCCAGGAAGAAGAAATAACTATCTTCTTAAAATTTCTAATTTAAAAAAAAACTGCAGCAGTCCTCTTGATTTAAGAATGCATGGGCTTGGATATGTTGCACTGAACTGAGTTTTCAGAAGAGGGCTCATGTAAGAAAGGCAAAATAATATAATTTTTGCTCACGCCTTAATGAATTAAAAATAATATTCGCGACTATTAAAATCAGCTCAAATTTTTCTGTTCCCCTGAAGAATAAATAATTCGAAAACCTTATCACAGACTGAAGCAATGAATTTCCGAATTTACTCGAGCACCACGCGCCCCTTTTTTTCTCTAATTCTAGGACGAAAAAGGCGTTGCGCGTCATAAGCGGGTATCAAATTTTCGAAAAAGTCTCAGGTGTGCATTAAATTTGAGTCTACCGGGATCTTATTTTTATGAAAGTACATTAATAAAAAAATCGAATTCAGTTCGATTCATGTCCTCAATTAAAATTTGTGGTGTTCTTTATTTTTTAAATACTGTACTCTATTGAGGTTTCAGAGTCACTAAAATGGGTAGCGCGTTTTTACTAGGGGATAGATTTTCAACAATAATTATTGTCTGAAAAACCCTGGAGCGCGTGCTACCCGAGTAAGTAGGGGTACAATATTTCGAAAGTTTAATGCAGCTCCACGCTTGCATTTAGCTATTGACTGACAGTCGAGCAGATTTTGCAATATGAATCCGTGCCGGCAACGACTTGAAAAATGGGCACAAGAAGCAAGTGCTCGCGGATAAATCAATGGTCTGAAGCAAATGCCGCCACTTTTAGCGCGTAATTGGGAAAAGTACTCATCAATAAAAGCAGGAAAATTTTTTCCTCCGGGGGTTCAGCCGGAAGGCTTCCCATTAGGTGCTACGGTTGCGTGGGCGTTGAGGACTGCGCCAACGGTGGGTCAAAGCTGCGCTGTCAACGGGACTACGAGGTATGCGTCACGATCTACGAAACTTCTCCGACTTGGATCATCCACAGCCCCGGGGATCCCCCCTTCGACGGGTCTCCAAGACGTGAGCTTCTCGCCATATTTTTGTTGTTGGGCAAATGTACAGGAGTGTTTTTTCGAAATTCCAATCGAACCTAGTTGAAATAAAACGAAGCTAATGATGATCCTCCATGTTGGAGAAGAAAAGAGGGAACCAAGAAGAAACTAGGTTCTCTCGAGCGTTGCTTACGCAACAACAAATCGAAACCGAAATCCTATATAAACCTAACATAAGAACATCAGATTATCCAGGTTCTGATTGACCATGCACGAATTCCGATAGATTGAGGTCATCCTGAGTGCCTCGTAATTTTTCCGCATGACGCTTCATCTCTAATAACCATCCTAGTTAATACACTTCAATACCGTATTTTCCGAAATGCCAAGAAAATTATCTTGGACCATTCCTAAAATGGCTGAAGATCAGTAGTACGAAATTATGCCATCATCCAAACAAACGCCCTCTGTCATTAACCCAGATTTGGGAATATACTGCACTTCATATCAGCTTTTTATCCTCTGAAGGATACGCAACAAAATGATATTCTCTTTGAAATTAGTGGAAATCAAATGCGGAGAAGTCACGTTTTTTGTATATAGTAGATTGAACTTCCTTAAAAATGTGAAACGCAGATTAATAGATAAATAATTATAATTTACTCAGACTATGAGTAAATTATAGAGTATACCATGCAGATATTTAAAAAAACATCTAAGAGTAACCAAAACAGTTGTGAGTTCGGCACAAATGACTAATTCATGTTTCTTGAAAAAATTGGCTTGAACTAAGAATTCAATAATAAAATTTTCGGATGATACATTTTGTTGATTTTCTCGGCATTTTTCACCATAAATTAACACAAAAAAGCAAGCATGTTGAATGCTACAAATACGCTTGCAAAAAAGCTGTATGGCTCAGATTTTACTTATCGCGATTCAACTTAGGTTAAATATTATGATGAAGGCTCGACGCCCTCAAGAACGTTAGCTGCGTAGTACGATCCCAATCTTACGACCGCCATCTAGTCTGAACATAATTTTCCTTATAATGTAAGTTCCAAGAAGAATTAAAGTCGGTTCACTCTCAAAAATTCGACACAGTACTTCGGTATTCCTGAAAAAAAATTGCGCAATAGTACACACTCGAACCCATCAAACGATTCGGAGAAGCATTGCTTATTACAACACTATATAATTTAACATTCTCAGACGCAATTTATTGAAGGATAAAAGAATTAAAAAAACCACTTCAAGGACCAGTCTTGCCTGCGGCTTTATCCGACATTTTTTATTGCAGATTCCGAAAAGGTCGTAGAGAAGGGATGTGGTAAAGTGGACGAAGGGATCGTCGTAAATGATGACCATTGTCATTTCGACGGCGCTAATCGGTACATTTGCTATTGCTTTTTCGACTTGTGCAACTCGGAAAACAGCCGTGAGTACATTCCGACTATTTCTCAAGCATACATAAACGTACTGCTTCTTTTAACAAGGTGAGGAAGGATGTTTAAAAAGATAACTCACAGTTGAGTTAAAGATGACATAACACAACGATTAAAAATACGCGGGTTGGAAGCGCATTTAAAAATACTCTCAAGCCTGTCAGTACTTGTACCGAGTACATATTTCGTTTAATTGCACTTCCATGCCAGAACACTCGAATCTTTAGTTTTTGTTGAAACGAAAGTGCATCAGAGTTTATCACAAAGAATTGGACAGCCTTTTGAATACAAGGAGCATCTTTAAATATTCCTTGAACTCCACATTCCAAAGCCCTATACTCTTTGTCGTAAAAATTCAATTTACTCTTTGTGCTTAATTTTTTTTTTAAGTGACGGAAAATTTGGCTTCAGTTTTTTCTTGGAATTTCGCTCTAAAAGTATAAACAGGTTTTACTGAGGGTAAATCTATACGATATGTGATATCGGACTCATATGTTCGTTCAGATTAAGCTATGAAACAATAACGACAATTTTTCGAATTCGTCTACTTATGGTTTCGCTAATTCTGCTAAATGGTTGGGTAAAACTTCCAACTGACCATGAAAAACCAAGTAACACAATAAAAAAGGCAGCGAACAATACTTGCTCATTTCAGTTAATGTTCTTTAGTTTTATTGAAAATCTGGTTGCTTCGCGCAACTGAAGTTTTGACCGGTAATATTTTACTTAAAATTCACCTTTTCGTCGTATTTTCCTTCTAAAAGTGATTCCAATACTGTAATACTGAAATATTCAAATTACTGAAATCAGATCTGTCTTCCACAAAAAAAAAACAAACAAACGAAACGAGACCATCATCAAAACAAGGAAGCAGCAATTGGAAATTGTAGTGATCATGTTCGTGCAATATTTGCAGGTTCTCTGTCAGAATACCAAAATGAGGTAGAATCCTCGTTGCTTCACTGTTACTCGTGCAACGTTGGCGCACACTGCTCCACCGGAGGACGACCAATCGAGTGCAACCGTCACGACAATGTGTGCTCTACGAAATACTCCGGACGTCCGTCTTGGCACATGTACCGCACCAAAATGCCGACTCGAGCGACGGTTCCGGGTAAGAAGATAAATATCATAAATTACACAAAGTCTTTACGCGAGAATAAAAAAAAATTCAGAAATCAGAAATGCGGTAGAAATCCGATTATCCGGGTTCTGATCATCGGGAAAAAGTCCGATCATCCACGCCCAAAATGTGTGTTCATTGAGAAGAAGCAAAAAGCAGTCTTGACATTATTCACTTGAGCCACTGTATTCCTCTATGATAAGACATCATCTGCGTAATTCATCATCATCAAATTTGTGAAAACGTCAGTGAGACGGAACTAAAACGGTTTTATTTGAAAATTGTGTTGAATTAAAGTTCTCAGCAGTACTGTATGTGATTTTCCGTGATATTATTCGAGGAATCGCACAGGCTCATGACCCCGGATATACCAAGTTCAACATCACGACTTTTTTCAAATGATCTCTCAATTGATTTTACTTCAGTTCATTTCACCTATAATAAGAGGTTTATTGAATAAACAAGAGTAAATGACATTTTTTGCGAAAGACAGTAGTGAATTCTGCGAGGGAAGCCTAAAATGTCGTCGTTAAAAAATCTGGACACATTAACCCAAGAGTCATCACGATAACAGTTTATCTATCCAAATACTGTAAATGGACTTCATAGCTCAAATGGGCTCCACAAATTTGACAACCGACCTTGGGCAATTTGAGTATGGACTTTAATACCATCATCCTGATCTTCAGAGCATTCCCAGAGTTGTAAATGATCCAATGATCGCTTCCGTTTCGGCGGAATTCAGTAATTTGCTCTGTTGATACTTTTGGAGCTGATGCACTTATCGCTAATTTACTACACCATCATTCGCATTAATGAACCAGAATGATGCTGCTCCATCCCGCCATCCCTGATAACAATAATGCGTAGTTAGTGAGCTCATTATTCAGCCGTTTCATGCCCTCGGGGACACTGGATTCGCACGGCTCAGAAAACGATTCATCTTATCCTTCCGTTCATGATTATAGCATGGACTAAAAAAGAAATTACAACTCCAACGTGTTCTTAGCCTCCACTTTAATACTCAAAAAGAATCGCAACATCACTTATTCCCCTTCATTAGGTATAGTACTTACTATGTGTCTCAAAAGTGTACGCCCTAGTAAAGACATTCGCACAAGACAATTTGATTATTTTGTTTGACCATTAAATCGACAATTTAGGCTGTAGTTTCTAGATGTCACTCGCTTTCACAATGACACGACAAATTTCACCTCTTCCCAGGTTACCAAATTATTCGAACATTTTTTTTCTGCTTTACGCAATTATATAAAAAATTTGAAGTCCAATAGTCAAAGCAAATTACTGGCGTTCATGCTTGCATTGCGAACCAGATTTGCACACCAAAAATTATGGTCATTCTACCGCTAAGCAACTTTGGACATACAGTATTAGATACTGCAAACCCTTTTGTGAATCTGGAAATTGTGGTTTTCCTTTAAACGCATTGACTTTTTCGCCACTCAATCCTGAGGAATCTTTTTGTTCGAAATCAAGCCAGTTTTTATCCACCAGCCACTGGAACTTAACAGAATAAAAAAATGCTGGTATTGCAGAAATTCGTTTTTATAGGGTACACTAATTTCAAGATTTGAGTCACAGTAGCACCTGGAGACACAAAACTCATCTAGAGTCCAAATGGTTCTTTCTTAGATTTTCTATTGTTTTCAGAGCTTTCAGAATGATCTCTGCTTTTCGAGATACACTATGGATGAGCATTACAAGTAACTCCGGCGGTTGAATAATTATCTTTCAATAACTTCGATTACAAAAATGTCGCCCATTCATTAGCCCCGATAATCAAGCTTCGATTGTACATTTATGTCCAACAAAACAAATAAATTTCGCTTAACCTTGGGTTTGATTTAATTACAATTACTTATGGCGCTTCAATCATTAAATTGGAGTAGCTTCGCCACAGGTTCCACTATTTACGGGCCAACTTTAATTCAATTTAAACTCATCACGTCGACGGGAAGGAAAAACAAATTAAACAAAACGAGAGAACAAATAACAGACAGCAGAATCATACAATCTTCAGATCGACAAAAGGCCGAAATACGCATTGTTACGTTCTGAAGACCGTTTCCAAGCAGTTCATAATTCAGTCATTTTCCAGGGAAATTAGTGTTCGTTTTACGACACTTTTCGCTGCATGACAAGACATTTGAATGAATAATTTCGAGGAAACCTTTTTTCATTTGAATGAAGCACCGCAATACTTCCTGAATCAACTTTTTCCCCCGCACTTTTTAGGCATGGAACAGGTCGCACTGAAGCAGTGTTTCAATGAGCGGTCGATCGCACGGTACACCCTGAACAACACCGCACTGACCATGTGTTGCATGATTGGCGAAGATCTTCACTGCTTGTGCACTGCCAACCTGTGCAACTTCGAAAACTCGGCCGATTCTTTATCGGCTTCGATGCAGTTACGCCCAGTCGTGACACTCACATGCATCCTTTCGGTTATATGCACGTTTTTCTACGCAACTTTTCTTGGAACATATTAGAACGCCTCCAGATTCTAGAAAATTCTTTTCTTACTTTGGAGGCCATGCATTTCACGACCATCAAATAGAAAATAGTGCGAGTGAGTGATTGTTTCCGCAGCGATGGAGTATTAATCTCCTCTTGACGTGAACAGTGTTTTTCAGCGGCGCGTATTTCTTTCAAAAAATTCCGTTTCTCTTGCCTCTATTGGCCAAAATCCAAGACAACAGCAGAGAAACGGTATTCCCCGAGGATAGGCGGTCGTCGAATATCATTACCTGATGGGCGGGGGGGGGGGGGGAGGAATTGCGGAGATCGACGGAGAAAAACTTGTGAGACATTCCATTCTAAATACTGTACAATAATAAACAGTTGAATTCGTCGATTGCAGCCTAAAATATTTCAAGGGAAAATCCCTACATCGCCGACTTACCATCAGCAATTCGCCTGACGCATACTGTGTACTATATCCTCCCAGGGAATCGTCGCATCCATCCAGAAGCCATTGAACAACAGATATAGTATACTCAAAGCTTGGAAAAAAAGAGAAAAAATAATCCGGACTCAACAAAACTGGCCCACAAACAATTGTGATCTTATCCCCACCACCCCCCTCCCCCCTTGCCTGGTTCAGTCTCTCTTCCCCATACCAACAAGTCAAACAGCAGCGTTGGTTGGTTGGTGTATTGACGGCAACCAGCGTATGCGCGACAGGAGCATGTTTTTAGGCGGCCACGTGCCGAAGTCCATCAATCCTCAGGGTTTTCAATGAACTTCCGTTCTGCTCGGTTCCGTCCGACGGTCGCCTTCACGGTTGAGCTAGGCACTCACTTCCCGCGCTTAAGAGGATGAGAAGACCATTCGCCCTTTGCCGGTTTTTACAGCACATATACTGTATTTTATTTTCATTATTATTTTCCAACACAGAGATTATCCGACTTCGTCGAGTGTTTTTTCCGGCGTGATGACTCCGGAACCTGCCGCTCGACACTTCCTGGACATCAAATCCCATGTTCGGATGCCAGAGAGCAAAAATAAATCTCCACTCTGATCATTCGTGTTTTCTAAGCATAGTCAGTTTTCGAAGGGGAAAATTCAAGTCCCGATTCTGCTTTTATTTCTCTGAGGTTTCCACTCGAAAAATCTTCAGCATTACGTCGCTTGTTTGTTTCGAGAATGATGGATGTGGGCATATCCAGAGATTTTTTGAAGAAGAAAAAATGGGACAATATAGAACACCGGGATTGCTTTTTTCCTGCTCCTGCACACAGAATGGCCTTAATGAAGATATTTGCAGGGCACTATTTCATTTCTTCTGCAATGGAGATTTTTTTTTAAATTAGTTATGCTCAACTTAGGGACATTTCAACTTAGGGACACTCTTGATGCACCAATTACGTCTGCATCTGGGCATTCTGGGGGTCTCACTGTATTTCATTTGTTTCCGAGTCAAAGATCAAGGAATGCACTACAGAGCGGAGCAGACTTACCGTAATACGAGGGTTCTAACAAAAGTTCTCAGAATGAAAATGGGGTCTAATCGAACTGAAAAAATTATTCTTTAGGGCAAACATATTCTTCGGCACAAAAAAAAAATCAGCCCTGTTTGACAATTTTTTTCAATGTTTTCCAAAATTCACCCTGGTAGCGTTTTGCTATCCACTCAGTAATTCCAAGGGTTGCCTCCAGGTCTTCAAAGGAAATTTCGCCATTTTCATCGACAGCCGCCTTCACAGCCGCCAAAGTGGCGGCCACTTTTTTTTCAGCTCGAAAGTGGCGGCCACTTTGGAAATGGCGATGAAAATGGCGGAATTGCCTTGGAAGACCTGGAGGCAACCCTTGGAATTACTGCAACATTGATTTCAAGAATTCTGAGGGGAAAGCTGGGCTACAAAAAAAACTGCAGGAAGTGCGCCTCATCTGTTGAGTGGATAGCAAAACGCTACCAGGGTAAATTTTGCAAAACATTAAAAAAAATTGTCGAACAGGGCAGCTTTTTTTGTGCCGAAGAATATGTTTGCCCTAAAGAATAATTTTTTTCAGCTCGATTAGACGCCATTTTCATTTTCATTCCGAGAACTTTTGTTAGAAACCTCGTAGATGTCCAACAGCATCAGGAAAAATCGACGCGTCGACCAACGAAGGGAGAAGTTTTAAAAATTGAAATGGAATCCCATCATCTCGACCTTCACGCATCTTGAAACCCGAAGAATGCTCAATAATATTCATGCATGATGCTATAAAACCAGATGATTGATACTGATGACCACGATCTGCCGTAGTAATTCTTGAAAACTCCCGTGCACCCAACCTTCATACTTGTATTCCAGAAAAGCTGAACAAAAGGTGGAACACAGCAAGTCCATTCACATTGACCATGAAAAATGAATAGATCCATCACGATTCATACCATACGGAAAAAAGTCGTCTCTCAGATGGAAACTTTCACGATCATTTCCGTCATGAATTATAAATACTTTGAAGTTTAAAGCTCAGAGAAAAGCTTTACCAAGTGCTCTCCCAACTAGATGAAAAGCTGCATTGCGTCGGAAGCAGAAGCTCGCTCTTTCATCAGTGCCAATAAAGCCGAAGGAAAACTTCGAATTCACGACAATCCGAAGGTATAACAATAAAATAAGGGTACGTTTTTACAAATTATTCTTCACGAATGCATTCGGCGGCACGCGTATACGGAACAACCATCCTACAAACCACTTCAAACCTCGTGAGAAAGCTCAAACAAATATTTCATCAAAAAACGCTGAATATTGTTATGCGCGTGTTTGTCATGCCAATGCACTTTCAATAATAAACTTGGACATGATTCAAGAATTAACTGAATAAGCTGTAATGGACGTTATCCCAACAAGGCATATCGAAATTGTCAGAAGATACCCAAGCTGAAAAACTGGTCGACGTTTTTATTTCAGACCATCCTCAATAATTGACAGGTAATATTAAAAAAATAAAACTAGCAGCCATTATTTCGTAAATGATTCAACACAATAATAATCGGAACAGTTGAGAAATATGTTACATGAACACGGAAAATTCCTTCAATCGAATTTAGAGAACAGAATACTGTAGCCTTCAAAAATACGGGAAGAGAACACTCGCATTATATTGAACGCAATATCTTCAGATCAGTGGAAGTTATTCATAAATCTCTTCAAATCTGAAGAACATAACACGTCGCATTATTCCGCGACTCGAAATATACCCAAGGAGCTAAAATGCTCCAGCTTTCCACCCGAATGACTTGAAATTTGATTTGCAAGACAACTCCCTTGACGGAGTATGAATTTTCATGTGTGCATCACCTAACCATTGAAAAAAGCAATGCTGCTTGTCTTGAATAAAAATTACCGATGTCAAGCAGAAGGAAAAATAGGCGAGGGCGCCTCAGGAAATGAAACAGGAAAATACGTACAGTAGTGAGATATGGAGAGAGAAAAATTCGCGGTATCGCGTCGCGAATCCGACAAGACAACCGTGAAGAGCTAATAGGCAGCATTTGCCGCGGTGCGATTCATTAAAATAATATATCCCTCTCTTGATATTCCCCGCGGAATAATCCGTACCCCTACTCCAGACATCAACAAAAAAAGAAAGAAAATATACAGAAAGAGAAGAGAGAAAAAAACAGGAGAGATATGCGATTTCATCCCATCTTCCCTTTTATTCCCGCGGCTTTCCTCGATTTTTTTGGCGCTACTCCCCTCCACCAACTACCACTACAACTTCTCTCGACGTCGCGATTTTTCCATGTGCATATTTCTTTCTCGTCGTTCCCATCCTCCCCCTGTCTGTCGTGGAACACTTCTTCTTCTCAAGCTTTTCATAGAGATACACACTGTGCTCTTCCGGCGTGTTCCCTCGACCGAGCATTCACCGAGTGGAAATACATAGAGACGCAGGGGGAGATTTTGGCCACTTTGGCAATCCCAAAGGTGATACAGCTCGTGGCAACGCACACTTCACGACAGAATTACCAAAACAACCATAATTATTAGTAAAAACATGTAAGCAATCTTTCACGAACTTCAATGCTGAAAAATTGAAATATGAACGGCATTTCGCAACATTCGTGAACTCTTTTCAAGATTAATGCATGAACTTCCTATACGGCAATACATTCATGTACAACATTTGTACAAAAATCATCAGGAAATTAGTTTATTTTTAGTGAGTTAATACAGTAGTTCAATTTATAGAACTCAGAAACCCTTTCATCATTCCGGTAAAACCTTCCTGTAGTTTCTGCACAGTCTGACGGTCACGCTAAATACAATAGCTCTGTCCCGAAAATAAAACACAGGCGATGATATAAATTGAAATAAATATAAAATCCGACCTTTTAGTGGGTATGTTTTCAAGATCTACTAAACGTTCACAGTATCCGAAGTCTTGCGGCACAAAGCCTTACTGCTGAAAGAATTAGCATTCAAAAACAAAATTGATTCAATATTCTCAGGATAATTATAATAAATTAGGAGGGTAGTACAGAATTACATAAAATCTAAAAATATAGACGCACGGAGACTATCTTCGTAAAATGCCCTTGCAAATTAATGATGAACTTCTTTCACATGGATTAATACATACTTCATTCTGGAAATGGGCGCTACAACATCGCTCAAGTGCGTATTTCCGAATGCATCTTTTATTTTTTCGAAAAAATAAGGAAATATTTTGAATAAATTAAATAGAGGATACCTGATAAATCACAGCCGACTCATCTTTCAATGAATTTTGAAAAATAACCAAGAAACGGTGCTATTTTGCGGATGGAATGAGATATTTTTGAATAAAACTCGGGCAATGCATTCAACAACAAATTAAACACCGCATACGCTTTATTTATATTCCTAAAATCGCGCAAAACCGATAAATTCACCAAAAAATTCGAATATGCCTTTCCACGAATTCTAGGCCAAGTTTCAAAAGCGGAAAAAAATGTACAGGCACGTTCTCCGACAAGAGACCAGATTTACGATGGCCAAATTCAGTTTTAGTGACCTATAATCCCAAGCGTGCCAGCAACAGCTGGATATGCCTAGAAAACGAGGCGACACGACTCCAGTGGAACAAACAGAGCAATAAGTACTGGATAATTCGGTCAAACACAAATTTCCCACAGAATGAGGCTTCACATATTTTTTTTTTTTA